AGGTCGTCAACTCAACTTTCCATTAACTCTGAAAAGCTCTCCGGATTCGTTCCAATGGATATCTAAATATTGTCAATACACAAAGAAATACTCGAAGCTCCGTGTAGCAGTGAATGTGTTTCTTCAGATTCTTTACCGGGTTCGAGTGATATTTTGTTTGGCAATATATAAATCGCGATAACGTACTGTTCGCTCTTTGTCATATCGCTGTAACAATATTTATTTTCGGAGGGAAGTTACCTTTACGCTGTACTATAAATCGCCTGAGTTGAGCATCTCTCACTGTTTACTGTGCTGAAGTATTTTTTTGCCCTTTGGGCTTTTATCTCCATTATTTAAAAATGGATTTTAATTTTCCCCAAACAAGGAGACTTTTAATTTAACTGCGGCAAAAACCATGTTCAAATTTTTTGTATAGTGCACCTTCTTGTGTTTTCAATTGAAGTTCATTAAACTAAGCGGCCTTTTCCACTATTTTATATAAAATGTTTGAGTTCCCAAGTTGTCGGACAGTAATTGCTTTTTCAGTTACTTAAAATTATTCTCTACAAGATTTTCCTTTAATTCTCAAGAAAGTTAAATGATTCAGTTCTCCATAGAATAAGAAAGAAGTCTTTTTTTTCTTTTTCGGCCACTTCTAATTCGAACATGATAAAACTACTCATGCTCGTTGGTGCGTACGATAACTTGACTTTTTGTTGCCTGCTCTCTCGTTGGTCAGTATTGAGGAAGGGGATTCCTTCACATGTGGACGTGCCGTCTCAGTGAAACAACAGTGACGTTTCAAACTCCATGTGGGTTGTATAAATATGAGATTACCACAGATGATTGCTCGGAAGTTCAATATTGCAGAACAGAGCACATATCATATCGTAGGTCGAAAATACTGTATAACAATTAAATTTTTAGCTATTCAATTTTATCCTAGATTGTTCAAGAATAACTCAGAAATGGAAACTCGGAGAAATTACGACAAGTGACAACCTTCAACCCACTGGATCTTGTGATGCTGATTAATAACAAAGCCTGAGTAGAAGCTTTATTTGCTCTCTTGATAGAAATCATGTAGCTTTCCATCAATGCAAAATTATTTCGAATATATTCATAGAAGAGTGGTGAATCTTCAAGACCAATGAGCGAGCTTGTTATTTAAGTTTAACGAAGCGTGGTCCTAAATCAGTACAAAGAGCTAACATAACTAAATCATACCCAACATAACACATGTTTCCGCAGACAAATTTCTTTAATTGACTTATTATTGCCCCCAAAGCAACAAAAACACCAGCTGTTGCATTCGTTTGTGATAAAAGCAATGTTTATCTAATTCGAGGAGAAGAATGACTAAGCATGGCGGCATGTCGAAATGGAAGAACTGATGAAGCGTGCGCCCTGTCATTTCAGTGCCTGATGCGAGGCCTTTTATCCTTGGAGAAAAGGTGGTATGTGCTAACTTCCTGTGACTGAAACAAAGGGTGCAGCAGGAGTTGAAAGGAACGTAGGTTAGAGCTGAAACTATACATCTTTGACCAATTTTGTGCTTGACTTACCAAATTCAGGAAATCCTACTCCAAAATTTACAGGCATTTGTTACTGGATTTTGCATGTATTTTCAGACAGTGGAATTAGTGACAAGAAGAAGTTGACTGATGTAGACATACACTCAGCATATAATTCAACTTTCAAAGGAGCTTAGATCATGGAACTTTACTTACAACAGCGGGAACCAAGCTGCCCACGAAAAGTGAAACGTAAGAAAGTAATACTCAAAAACTGAGGAACAAAATATTGTCAATTAATCAAATTTGACGGGGGCAGATGCGTTACAACCATGTTCACTGAAGACACCAAGTGTACAGCAAAAAGAGGACGCCCTGGCTATGAGATAAGTTAAGATTGGGCCATATCGCAGATGTGTTATCTAATCACAGAAGTCTATTCAAAATTAAAAAAAACAAAACAAAACAAAAAACAGAGGAAGAATAAAAAGAACAAAGGTGCGATTTGAAAAGACAAGCAAACACCAGGCCTTGCTGAATGACTTATGGTGATTGCACTTTCTTCAATCACCCCATTTTCTCCACCGTTTTCCAAGGTTTTCTTTACATCAATCTTCAACACATTATCGCCACACATGATGTATCACATGTTTGAAAGGGAGTAGGTGGGCACAGGTAGCCACACTTTATTATGAATCGTTGCAAAAGTAAGTCTCTCCTTCACAAAAATATGAATGAGTCTCGTATCAAGAAATGTTCCATTGTTGTGGGTTAAATTCGACAAGTTCAAACAAAAGTCTTTTGTCGTTTGTTGCGCTGAGGAAATTGTGCCGAGACTCGGCGAAGATGAATTTCAGATCATCGCAAATTGTCGGCGTGTCAAATTAGCGGCACTAGGGGAGAGGGGTTGGGAAAGTCGCTCATGAGGGTGCTTTTCACACAGGGGTACCCAAGGGAGAAAATGCCCTTCACTATGCTTGGTCTCTCAGTATATTTTTTTTTTATCAGCGAACCAGTTGATTATAAATTTATCAACACGATAAGGATGCTTTGTTGTTAAAAACATTCACGAACTATTTTACTCGGCAAGAGGACGAGAGGAAAAAAAGAAAATTAAACAAGAAGCTTCTGTGTGCGTTCCATTGACGGACGTAAAGAGTATCGGGTGAGATGGAAGGGTTTCGGAAGCAAGGACTATACTTGGGTGCAGGAAGAAGATTGCAACAGCGCAATGAAGAACTATGCGCGATCTTCACTTAAAAGTGAGTAGATTACAACAGGAACGAATTTACTTTGCTTGAAGGCTAGTTTGTTCGAGACTAAACGTTTCTCTTAGTCTTTTTTCAGGAAAAGAAAAAAATGATCGATTATCTCGTCGGTGAGATTGGACAGAAGCTCTCCGTTCGAACCGCCCCAGAAAAGGGATACATTCGACGCACCACCATCAGAGTTCCGATGGATCCAGAGGACTTTAACGACCTGTTAAGTGGCCTGAGTCGTGGTAGGAGAAGGTTTGATGTGACAGCCGAGGACCTCGACAACCTTCTGCCAGATGGATGGTCCGAACGAGCGTTCCGCACCACTAACAGATGTGTTGTTAGTCGACAGCAGCCCATAATCATCCGGTTCGCCGACCAGAGAAAGTTACACTACGATCATTCCAAGTGTCCACGCTGCGGCCTTCATCAAAAAGGTTGCAGAAATCCTTGTACTGTTATTATAGCCCAATAGTCCATTTTCTTTACTAAAGTTTGAACTATACACGAGTCAACTTTTTATGGCATAAGTTTTCCAGCCTCCCCCAGCTTGAAAGGTCATTCAGCACACGTGGTACTGCGCGCTTTACCATCCGTTCAATCCTGCACCAAAGAGTTGACCCTGGATCGCCCACAAGTCCCATTAACTTAGCTGTATAAAGTCAGAACAATGTTATACGCTTTGGGAATGTTATATTTGGTCCGACTATTACCGCTTGAATTACAAATAAAAGTCAACGGCAACCTACACTCTAACTTAGTGAAGGTTCTCCTTGAATATGTTATCAACGAACTAAACCTCTGATAGCTGCACCACATGTCACATTGGATGTAACGATGTATTCGGAAGACATTTCGTTGTCAAACTGGTCTGTGGATATTACCCAGAAATCAAATACAGTATGATGTAATAAAGTATCTTTCAGCCGACATTGGGCTATTTTAAACGCCTTAACCCACGAATCTCAGCTGAGGCGCTGTTACACTTTACTTACAGAGAGTCGCTCACTAATTCGAAGTCTAAAGCACACTCTTCGAAACCTCGTAATCTCTGGTACAAACTGCATGTAAGAAACACCGTTCAGTCCTTCACTAACAATGATTTAGGTTGCGTTTCTATTAGCCAATCTAAATCCTGATTTTCCGATCCACATACAGTTTTCTGCTTCATCAAGGAGAAAACAAGTTTAAGACTACAATCGGAACGATCTCCCTCCGAACTTGGATCGCACGGGTCGGTATATCACTTTGGATCCCGATTACGTGGTGGACACTAGCGATTAACATGGCGGTTCAAAAGGTGAAAAATAAGCAATTGTCATTTTCAAGTCAGCCCAGGTTCTTGAACACTGCTGTACTCCTCTAAAAATCTTTAAGATTATGGAAGTTGAACTTGAATGTTAAGAATAAAACGAAGAAGTATGAAATTCGCCCAGTTAAGACCGTAAACAGCATTTAGTTTTTTTGCACGGCGTAAGCATCCGTCCAAACTGCAACATTTCTGTGAGTTTTCTTAAGCTTCTCAAGCGTCGTAAAAATGAGCAAGTCATCCATTTTCATGATGTTTTCCCTTGTTTCTGTTTTCTCTAACAAGTTCTTCCAGCATAGAGTAAAAGGCTGAAGGTAATCTAAAAAAAAACCCTCCATTTTGCTTTATTCTTGGTCTTCAAAAGATCGTGTCCAGGCTGTTTGCCGTTCGGATCGATCTCTTTTCAGATTTTTGAAAAATCTGAAAATCAAACAAGCCAAACAATCCAAATAAAAAAAAGGTCCAAACAAAAAAAAATTCAAACAAAAAAAAATCCAAACAAGAAAATCCGAGACGATTCGGATAGTCTAAATCCAAAAAAGCACTGACGGTCATGACGTGACGGCCTAGGTGATGTGTCAAGTTATTCCGAATGTGTGTTGGGGGCGGATTCCGGTAACTTCCTTTGAAAATAAGGATTTGCTTCTAATTTAAAGTTGCTACTGTTTGATGTTCCTTCCAAAGACCTGAAGTAATTTTGATATTTGTAATTTTTTTAGAAAACCTTCAAATATCTGTCTAGATTTGGAATACGTGGTTAGTCTTTACGCAAATTCTTTTGCGGAATCAAAAAACGCAGTTGTGGTGGTAACCAGCCATTAACGATCATCGTTTCCCTCTGTGCAGCTCTGTGTTCCACTGTACCAAAGTCCTCTAAATCCCCAAGTTCATTCCAGATTCCAGACTGTTGTCTCTTGAGGCCAGGATGCTAAAGGCTTGGTTAGTTTGATTAGTGTGTCGTTCAAAGAGAGTAAGAAAGGCATATCATGAAAAACAAAAAGGCTTGTTAAAAAAACAAACAAACAAACAAAAGAGCTAAAAGGGCGAGCAACGCCACTAGAGAACTAACCGTAAACACGCCACGTCGGTTGGTGTTGGGCTAAGACGATGTTGGGGACGAACGGAGTCCAAAAGCCAACGGTGGTGTCCTTTTAATGAAAAGTTTACACTTGTGTAGTTCATGCCACTTCTTTGGATGGAAGTTTATTGGATGACTTGGACAAAGCGTAATTATGTCGTCTGATATCAATGGAAAGTCTCAAAAGTTTCTGAGGAAAAGTTACATGCATGTCCGTGCAACATGTGCATCAGGTAAGCACGTTGAAATTTTCGCACAACATTACAATGAGGAAGCTAATTAACCCCTTGAGATTTAAATGAGAAAATGATAGGTCATTTCCTTCGATTTATCGTGCAGGTGAATTTGAAGTATCGAAGAGCAAAGTGATTGAAATAAAATCGTTCCAATCAATGCACTATAGGACTTGTCATCTCAGCTGGGAATGCTGACGAACCTACATGTACCTGAAAATTGTTTGCAAAATCTGTGGCTTGTTCACCATGAACAAAGAGAGTTTGACTGAGGAGCAGTGTGAAAAATGGTTTGAGATTCATTGGTGTTAAGGGTATTACAAAGGCTCCTGCCCAAGTTTGGCATGGAGATTTAATGTGCCAAATGGCAGTGATGATAAAAAATGAGTGATTGTCATTTCATCAAGCACACAAGGATGAATTCTGTGGAATTGCCACCATTATGAAAATTAACAAAACACTGACCAAGAATGTCACCAAAAGAGATACCTTGGGAGGGTGTTACATCTGAAGCTGGAGCTTTTAATGAACAGAAGACCAAGAGTAAGAAAAAGGCAAATTAGACCAAGAAAATACTTTGTGTATATCCATACATAGATAGACAATGTTTATTTGTTAATCCTTCACCTTGCAACCAGGGGCTAGGTGAGCCAAACTTGCATATTCTGCAAGCGTCTCTATAGTAATTTGATATCATCTTTTCAATCCTTAATTATCTTTTAAGAATGCTTTGCTGGAGGAATTCAAGGAAGGAGTGCACCTAATGAGTAGTCACTGTGGTTCCTCCTCCTTTGGGTTTCTTCTATAAACCTGTTTGGCCTCTGAAGCATAACTGTTTTAGGTACATGTACCATGTTAATGATGGTAACATGGAAGGTGCGTGGAAGGTTTCCCTAATATCCTTTCTTCTGTTGATGTGCATCAAATATTGCTGGTGATCTCCATTCTGATTCACAGAAATTTATTCAATGTCAATACCTTATGACTATCATTAAAATCACTGTCTTGAAGTAAAAGGAGAAGAGAAAAAAAAATGTCTTGGATCATACCATGATGACCTGAGTGTTTTATCAGTCCCTTCTGTTGACTACAGCAAGAAAGCAGGTGTGGGAGAAAAAGTTGCCATTCTGGATCAGTGTAAGAAGCTGAGCTAAAAGCATGATAATTAAGCTGCTACATGAAATACCTATATATTTTGGTCAGCTGGCAGTTCATATATTTTCTCTCAGGTGAGAAGTTAACAGTTTACTGTCTTTGTAAAGCAGAGAGAATACACTTTACAACTAGGGAGAAAAATTGGGAATTTAAGATGTTGTGCATGCATTCTTCCTATGATGATCGTACTGCCTGGTAATAAAAGTTTGGTTTCTTCCCTAACAACATCAAGTTTTGTTAACCTTTTCCACCCTTACATCAGTATGCATCTTCTCCATACTGTTCCCTATACATTCCCTAAGGTGCTGATGAGGAGAATTTGTTTCATAATCCAGAGCTTCTCTAAATGGTGACCATTTCCTTTATTCTCATTACCTTAATATGTGATTTGGGGCTGATATTGTGATGAGAAATTAAATGCCAGTCACTCTTAGATATTAAAGGGTTAAGACCATCAAAATGACTGCCACCTACATGTATCTTTAGAGGTATTCAATTTCAAAGTTTTCTTTGACTTGTAGACTTGATATTCTTTGCTAGGAGTGAAATTTAGCCAATTTAAATAAACTAGCTGATTTAATGACTGCCTAAGACTTTTGTTGCATTTTGTTGAATTGTGTATAGCTGAGTGGTAAAGTTGCACCTTGCCTCTAAGCCAGCTTGTGTATCAATTCCCTTTTACCTAAACAGTAACCCAAACAACGCTACTTTTTGTTATATTTGCAGTTTTTTGTCCTGGCAGTTATGGAACAAAAATCAAGGTAAAAATTATGTTAACCACTGTTTTTACCTGGAAATCTGAAATAAATCTAATTAAACATGATTCAGAGGGCATGTTTTATATTACAAACATAATATAACAATTAAAGGCAGAAAGCTTCTTGTTTTGTAAAAATGAGTGTAATCCATACATTTTTTTTTCTGACAGTGAATGTTCTTTATTCCTGTCATGTCATGAAGGATTTGACAACATGGAGTAAAATGACGGACAGTTTGTGACTTATCAATACGCATTACCCAAGCATGGGGTAATAATATTGATCACAAGTGATATTAAACTTTCATGCATACTTACTTAAGGGCTTCTTTGTAATTCAATTAAAAATAGAAGGCGGCGAGTCTACTAGCTTGAGAACTAATGCTATGTTTTGATTTGCTATTATCATTTTATATGTTGTATGTATTATTACGTTCAGCAGGAAGTTACAATCAAACCAATATATATTTCTCTTGATCATTTAGTAGGGGCTTTTTCTTAAGGAATAATATGATGATATTAATGTTAACAAGGGTGCGCGGTAATTTTGTCCAATAGATGGCTACAGAGTTCAATGATTGATTTGAACTAAAATATACTTAAGGTACAGCTCACTTCCTATTTAGCTTCAAGCTCAAATCAACAACTTGTATCTATTTTTGTTACCTCAAAAGCTACTGGTGCATATATACATACCTTTCTCTTTAAAAAATGCAGTTAGGATTTAAAGAAACAGAATTCTATTTCCCTTATGTATCTGGTGTTATTTAATAATTCTTTATGAATCAATGTGGCTTTTTTCTTTTAGGAACTGAGGCATCCTCATGAACATCATCATGAATTCAACAAGAATTTGATTTATGTGTAGTTGAAATCTTTATTGTGAGACTGCCAGCTCAATTGTATGCTGTTATTTGCTCTGGAAAATGAATGATTAATAAAGAGTTAATCAATTTCATTGACCAGGAACAGTCTTCAGGTAACTATTGATTCCTTCTATCTTTCGTAACTTTTAACAAAATTTTAATCGCAAGGGCTTCATTATGGAATTATTTGTGCTGTTCTCAATAAGTATTTCATAAATTAGGCTTTCCTAAAATGCCAGCGTGTAGCAGTAAAATTATGTAACAAAATTCTCAATGAAGTCAACAAAAATCATTAACATGAGCACATTGTTGGAATGCACAATGCTTTTTTTCCTTTTTTTTAACTCAATTACTCCCTGAGTGATTGATACGCGACTTCTCCATACAATTTCAAACCGTTCACAGAAGCTCACAAGAAGTGAAAATGCGACATACGAGAATTTCCAGCAGGAATACTGATATACCACCAAAATAAATAAGTGGAAATTGTGGTAAGGAAGTAATTTAGTACATCATTAGTAGTTTGTGAATGGGTTAACTAGGGGGTTCAGTTATGATGAGACATAGACAGGAAAGAAAGTACAGTATCCCAATAAATTGCTTTGACATTGGCATTTATATTGAAAAAAATTTATCTTTCTTTGTATATGGATTGGAGTGAGTTTGATAATGATCACCTGTATGATAGTCGAATTAGTGATGCTTCACATTTGGAGCCAAAATTATACTAATTAATTGCGTTCTCAGATGTAATGCGTAGCTAAGTTAATTAAATGCTGATACGCCGAGGGTGGTCCAGTCTTAAAATCGTGAAACAACTTTCAGAGATAGTTGGAACTTTAACTTTTAACTTTTGCGTGAGCTAGCTTGAGTTCTCGTTCCTACGCACGCGTTACGTGATTTAGATGTTTCGTCACGTGCGTTGAATTTTGCATGCGATTGAAAAAGAGAGTGCGCATAACTGTTATTTGTTATCTGATAAAAATAAATTGTTTATCCCTTTCCTTTCAAGAAGTGGCGTTTTCAATGGACATCCCATTTAAGTAATCTTTCACACCAACACAAAATATTCCTGCTAGGCAACCGGTTTCAAAAGCCGTAGTCACGTGCTTACGCCAAACGCTAAGTTATGCCTTCGAAAATTTGCCGGATCTCGTTAAGGGCGTTCTAGGAAAAAAATAATAAGCATCCTTTTTTTTTTTTTTTTTTGCCTCGATTACCCGGGGCGATTATTCCAGGATTGGTTACTTGGCTTTGACGGAAGGGATTCCTTGATGTCATCGTGCAGGATGTGGACCAGCCAGCTTTCACTTATCCACCCTTCCCCTCCCCCCTCACCCACGACTGTTCTACATAGCTGCTCAATTTCCCAAGCCACCTCCTCCTCCGTTAGAAACTCTTTTTCCGGCACTTTGGATATTGTGATTATAAACCCATCGATATAGCTTTTGTTTTCTACAGAGATTATGAGGCAACATCGTCTAAAGCTTACCAACGATTAAATAATGAATTTTTAGATCAACTGAAACTTTTCAGACTTTGTTCTATTGATCTGTGTTTATTCTCTGATTCGTGGGTTATGTTTATCTATAGACAAATATACCTAACGTGCAAAACTGATTCTGATTGCTCCTTGCGAATTCAGTATATCGCTTAGCGCGACATATCCGCGCAGTCTGCGTCGCAAAGAGTTTTGTCATCTAGGAGGAAAAAATTATATCTTTCTGCCATTGGACTTACGGACATAACCAACGAGCTCTGGCATTATGGAAATTTTCGACAAAAACGGATGATTCCGAAGGCATGAGGCTGATCGTTGTAAAACTAAATCCAAACTCCAATGTTTAATTTCAATTTAGCGCGACAAAGTGACTTAAAAACGACAAACAGCTTGAGATGTTGGTAAAAAAACTGTCCCGTTGTCAATTTGACGAGAGAAATAGGACAAAGAGAAAAATCTCCATACTCTTAAAAGAAAACTGCGGTAGTACTGATTGATAGTCTGAACTACCTGCTAGGCCGGAACCGAGTATTCAGATCGTCACAAATGCTAGATCATGTGGCCACGGGCACTCGAGCAGGTTATATAAGGCAAATTGTGGTCATTCTTCTGAGAAATTTTATGGCATCTCAGAAATGAGAGCAGGTTATATAAGGCAAATTGTGGTCATTTTTCTGAGAAATTTTATGGCATCTCAGAAATGCACCAATGTTAGGTATCAGCGGTTTTTGCCAGTGGTGAAATAGTAAGCAGACGAATTTCCAATACACTTTTAACCTGTCAATCGGATTCATTCCTCAGAAATGAAAGTCACAACCATTCACCAACGTTCCTTGATCACCTGAAACGAAAAACTCGGCGTATTCCTTAGCCTTGCAGTAAGAAGTCGCAATGAAGTTTACATCGACAGTCAAACGGCAAGAACTAAACCCTTTAATGAAAAATTCTGAATGTAGTTACACACCACTGTTTGGGGTCATCATCATAAATTACGATCCACTTATTAAGTTTTCATGAAGAAAAGTATTTCAGTGACTGTTTATAATTGATAATTATGGATTTGATCGGTGTTTTTCAATCAGCACACTCCGCTTTAGAAAGTGAGATTAATTAACAGGATACTGTCTCAAAATTACAACCTCCTGCGGTTGTAATGAGCTTGGTTTCACGCGAGATTTTATAATTTATATTTTCACGCGAGATTTTTCTAAAACTTCGTTGAAATGCTCCAAAAAGGGTTTGAAAGGCTATGTTGCATTCGAGTACTTGTTCAATGTCAGAAAAATTACGGCACGTACTTGAATTTGAAAAGCTCTGTTATTTGGGGATAGCCCCCTGACGTACTTCTGAGCGCTCCAAAGTGTTATTTGAATTTTTCAGCCTGAAGCTTGACATGGTGGCGAAATTCCATTGAGTGTTAGTTGTTACCTCCCAAGCGACGTCCCAAATGTTGACAAAAACGACAACGTAAATAACTACTGCAGGAAATCATTTGATTGAAATAAATTGCGATCACTGAGCAAAGACCATTGAAATGATTTTTATAGCTGGTTTGAAGGCTTGGAGACATTCTGTACGTGCGTCAAACTAAGTATATTGCAGTAAAGGGATTATGGTGAACTTGCCCCATTGCAGGTTCGCCTCTTATTACCCTTTTCGAGTTCGCCGCCTAACGTAAAAGAAGTTCGCCCCCACCTTTATCAGTTCGCCCCCAAATCTCTCGACTTCTTTCCCTACCACAGAACCATATTTTTTTTCATATTCAAGTCGTGATATTTTTGCGACCAAGATGATTTTTTCACATGCAAATCCAGCCGTGTTAAAAATGCACGACTTATGCATGAATAATGCAAACCCGCTGCGTTACAACGGTCTTAATCTAACGAGTTTCACACAATTTTGTCCTTTTTTGCGCGGCAAAATTTAAGAACTAGTTATCTCGACTTGCCTTCGAACTTCTCACTAGCCCAAAAACTTCAACAGCATTACAAACGAGTCTAATGAGTTGGGGGCGAACTGGCGAGGGGACGACCTCGTTTAAAATTAGGGTGAAAACGTCATTAAAAGATAAAGGAAACGTTTCTCCCTTAATGATTGATTCCATTTTAATAAGTTTGTGCCCTTAACTCGCCGAACTTTCGAGTAGCTTGAACATGACAATAAAATACGCTTACTGTGGACCAGTACTTTGAAGTTCATCGTTGGTATGTTCTACCCTAACTTACCTTGAACAAGAAACAAATTCAGAGCTAAAGAATCTCTGTTGCTGGCTAAAAGCCAATAACCTTAGCTTAAATGTAGCGAAAACTGAGTTTATAGTCATTGGCTCTCGCCAGAAAATTCTTGCCGAACACTATGACGATATAAGCATCAAATTATTAGACCAAGTTGATCACGCTAAATTTTTAGGTGTAGTTATCGACAATCCGCTTTCCTGGTCTAACCATGTTGACGGAATTTTAAAGGCTGATTACGATACTGGCTAAAACCTGCTTCTCGAAATACTTAAATGGGATAGACTAGAAATAAGGAGAAAGAAACAAAAAGCGACAATGATGTTTTAAATCCCTAAACGAATTAGCTCCAATGTACTTGTGGGCCCTTTTTAACGAGCGAAACACAAACTATGACTTGTGTAACTCTTTTTGTGAACTGACTTTGCCAAGGCCGCGTACTGATTACTTAAAACGCAGTCTGTGTTAGTTACATCGGTACCTTTTGTGGAACTCGTTCCCTGAGAGTGTCAGAGGAATCAGATCAATGGGTAAATTTAAAAAGCGAATCAATATTATTATGTATTTGAGTCATTAGATTCTCACTCAGCAATCTTGTAAAACAATATTTTGATAGTTTTTAAACCAATTTAATTTTGTAAATAGATAGATTGGGACGCTATTGTTTTTACTGAAATTTTTTTTTTCTACTACTACTGTTATCTAATCCGATGGTATGTGAGTAAGTACTTTACTTAAAACCTTGTGCTTTTAGAAAAAGCACTGGGTGACTGTGTAAAATGGGAAACCGAATTCGTGAAAGCTTTCATGACGGAGAAGCTATAAAAGTCAACAGTTGCTCTCAGGTTATGCTTGGGCACAACCCTGATGTAGGTTAAGTTTGGACAATGTATTTTTACTTCATTATGTGGCCAATGAATGGGAATTACATCTATCGTAATGATACGATTTAGCGCCCTCCTTCAAATAAGTGCCCTGTCTCTAATAAGTGCCCTCGGCCCTCGAATTTGTTTTTGTTAATGAGCCTCCCTATTCTATTATGCACCCCTACTGAGTAAGCAGCCTCATTGCAATGAGCACCCTATACCAATAAACGCCCCTATTCTGCTTAAGAGCAACTCCATGCAAATATCGACCAAAGTGCGGCAAGGCTCAATCAATTAAAATCGCTCTTCTTTTGCATTCTAGTAGACTTTAGTTAGTGTACAAACGCCATGTAATTTTTTCTTTGAAAGATCCGTTCCTTTCCGAGAAAAACGTGGAAAACCGTTTCAAGCCCCGCCGACGATTTTGCAAGCCAAAAGCAGGG